TTGACTGTGACTCACAGTAACCCTATGTACAACAGAATTAAATACCGCCCAGTGGTGTGCCATCCTCAAAATCTTTGCTATTTCTAAACCCATTGTTGCAGCCACTGTATCAATCCATTTCATTGAGGGTTTTCCCCTTTTTTGCTGACCCTCTACTTTACCAAGCATGATATCCTTCTCCAGAGAATGGTCCCTTCTGACAACATGACCAAAGTAGGTGAGATGAAGTCTGGCCATTCTCATTTCTGGTGCCTGATTTACCTACTTGTGTTCACTTCATAATCTTTGCAATATTGATCAGAACCAAGAGCAAATAGAATCCTGCAGAATCCTAAAAATACCTTTTGTAGTGAAGGAGAAAGTACTTTGGAAGGGCTGGAGAATGACAGGATGCAATTCTTAATTTTTAAAAGGTATTACTATTAAATCCCTGGATAAACACATGGTCATTTTCAATTAAAAATGAGCAAAAGAGAGACTGAATTAAAAGTATTTTCCAATGTTCTTCTTTAATAACATTACAAAATCTATCAAAAATTTAATCAAATTTGGTCTAATTTAGGGAAAAGGGCATGACCTGGAATAAGCTTGCTACAGAGCATATGGGTTTCTCTGGATGACATTCAGGTTTAGCTAAGCTTCATTGTAAAGCAACCATGATCTGTGCAAGGTTCCAAGGGAAAAATAGACAGAAATGAAATATGATAGGCACTATTTTCTGCCAGAAAAATAGTATTGCTTAAGACTAATGAATGCCTTTGAACACTGGCTGCAACTTCATTAAGTGCTTATAGTTTGGATTTTTTTTTTTTAATTTAATTCTTCCACTGTTTATAATACGAATACACTTATACATATATTAGACATGGTTACCTCCAGAAACGACTTTTTTAGTGCACCCATATAGCTCCTCTAATGTGCTAAAAGCAAAGAGCTGAAACTCCCCAAACTAAAACACGCTCTAAAACCACAGTGTGAAAGAACAACTGTGATGAGCCATTTAAAACTTTCCAAGATCAAAACTCAGCTTTCAGAAACTTCTTCCTTTGCCAATAGGGTTAGAGTATTTAATCTGGGCTTCTTAAATTTAAATTATTAACATGGCTACATTTTCCTCTTTTTCCCTATTTTTCCTAATAAAACCAAAAAAACCAAACTCACTGCCATCAAGTCAGATCCAACTCATTGCAACCCCTCCTTGGGTTTCGGAGGCAGTATCATTACGGAAGTAGATTGCCCAAACTTCCTTCTGAGGAGTGGCTGGGGCTCCAGAATGTAAGTATCTCGTATGCCTACTAGATGGAATCATTCAATGAATTTCTAGTGATTGTATTGCTACATTCTACAACCGTTTTTATCCTTCTAAATGATAATGTATTATACAGTTATTCATCAGTAAAATTATAATAACAACTATTAAGTGACTATAGGGTTTTCCTTTTCTCTTTGAAAATAATATAGTGCCTGACATCAGAAGAATTACATGAAACAATCTGCTTAGATATTTTATGTTGATTCTTTTGGTTTCCTTGTAGGTTTCTACACAGAAATTATTGAAAGGAGAAAAGTGTCACCTCATCCCAGGCCCCTTATGGCCTCCATCCAGTATGATGAAAGTCACGTGTGTGGAGGAGGTCTGATCCACCAGCGGTGGATGCTGACAGCATGCTACCACCAGGCTCAGTGAATACCCTATGCTTTTCCAGTGTATATGGTTTTCCTTCAAGCCAGCCTCTCCTGGGAGATAATTCAATCTGCTGTTAGGTTCTGTGATAACTGACTAACTGTGGAGCTTATCTTTCAAACATCCACACATTATTGGATTTTCCTTACTGGGGAGAACTGGGCTACCTTTCCTTTCTTTTCCAAGGCCAAGTCCTTTGAACAATGCCAAGGAAAACAGCAACAGTAATAAATGAAGCAGTAGTATTCCCATAACCTTGTTAGGTTATATTGCTCGTGAGGAAATCAGACAATTGAGTTTGCTCTGTGTTCCTCAACTTCCTCATTTTACAAGTGAGTATATGATAACAGAGGAGCTCTGGTAGCATAGTGCCTAAGGCACTTGACTGCTAACCAGAAGGCTGGCGGTTCAAACCCACCAGCCACTCCTCGGAAGGAAGGTTGGGCAATCCTACTTCCGTAGTGATACTGCCTCGGAAACCCAAGGAGGGGTCGCTATGAGTCGGGGCCGACTCTACGGCAAACAACAACAACATATGATAACAGTACCTACTTACTGAGATTTTAAGTGATTAAATGGCATCTATTTAAATATTCTAGCATGTGTGCAAGTACAGATCAATTGCAGCTCTTGTCATTATTGGACTCCCTGGGTGGTGTAAATGGTAAGCACTCGGCTACTGACTAATAGACTGGAGGCTTTAGTCTCCCCGGAGGTCCTTCAGAAGAAAGGTCTGGTGATCTACTTCCCAAAAACTCAGCCATTGAAAACCCTATGGAGCACAGTTCTACTCTGACACATAGGAGGTTGCCCTAGTAGGAATTGACTCAATCGTAATTGGTTTGGTTTGGATTCTGATGATGATTATTGTTATTATCGTATGTGTGAGACAATGCTTTGCTAATGGATTTTCAGACTCTTTGCCCACTCAGCTCCAGAGGTCTGAGGCTGGAAGTTTGGGAATGATAGCTACAAGGGTTAATAGACGTTTCCAGGTGAGTTTTTTAACACTTTAATTTACCAAAAGAGAGAGAAATTTTTCTGGGATACTTAGAATGAAAGTTTTTCTGAAGAGAGTATAACCTCTCAGAGTCCACTTCAGTCTCTGAGTCTTGCCCACTTCAGTTAATAAAGTACAAAACCATCTTGGGATGTTGCAAACATCACAAAAAGAAAAGCAATAGAAAACTAATTTTTTGTTTGTTGTTGTTTTATTTGTTTGGTAGGTTGGTTTTGAGTTTGTTTGTTTGTTTTTTGTTCACTTCCTTACATTTCTTGCCTGAATAATGTAAGAAGAAACGGAGCCTTCTCTTTTCCTTACATACTTTACAGAACGTCCTTTAACAATCTATCTTAGCCTTAATGGTTTGCTCTCTAGGTATCATCTATATCTAAACAGAACAACTGAATTGACCTGCTTCTCTGTGTTTCTTTTAGCTTTTTGTCTTATTGCCCCATCTTAATGTTACTGTGTAAATGTTTTGAAGCCTAAAGACAGTATTTCTGTTCTATTTTTAAATACTAAACCACTGATTCACAGCTTAATGTAGTGACATCATTTAAATGAGGTTCTTGCCTTTGCAGGGACCCATGCATTCCCATCACTTCTCCCCAGGACACTTGCCATCTTGAGACCAGCCTGGCAGATGACGACCGTCAATGAATGTTCACTCAATTCAAAATGCCCACTTCTTCAAGCCTGCTTCTGGTACCTGCTCAATTGGACTATAACCTTAACAAACACACAACTTAATATAAATATTCAAGAAATACTGGCTGGAATGAAGGAAATAAATTAGAGCACTTCTTTTTTTTTTTTTTTTTTGGCTAACCTAAAATATGGTGTATGAAGTTCTTCACAAGCCATAAAGTACTGTCTAATCTTAAATAGTATTATTAAGTTGAATTCAAAATTTTGTCAAGTACACTTGACTCAGGAGAAGTGGATTCCCAAAATGGGGAAAAGAGTTTATAAAAAGACAGGCAAGAGATCTTGGAATTAATAAGAAAAATTATAGCTAAATATCATTTTAAATGGCTGGAATATAAAGAATTCCAGGATATGTGGATCAAATTTCCTCTACAGGGTACTTGGGTGTAAAAATGTGGCAGTTCAGTGCTTGGAAAAATATTAAGCTTCACGAAATCCAAAATATTTATGAGCTAGTTCAATGGTGGCTTCCCACAAATGTACTCCCAAGTCTGCTGTGGGAATATTTTGCTAAGTCCAGGCCTCTCTCTCAGCAAAATGGAAGAGTGAGCCAAACCTGGAGAAGATTCTTTCTCACCACCCAGCCACACAGTTCCCCACTTAATATCTTGGCCCCTTTATTAGTTGCATGTCAATTGTATAAGAAAACCATAAAAAGCTTCCTATATGATCTTATTTTCAACATTTTAATTTATCAGAAGCAAACCAGTCGCCAGCTGTTGTCTACTGTCCTTTATGCCTGGCCTACCTCCCTCCAGGTCTTTTCCAAAATCCTCCCTCGATTAGTCTTCCCTCTCCTTCTACCTACCTAACAAGTTACTGCACAGAATTCACCAGAACTCCTTCCAGCATAGCCTCATCCCATTGCAAATCACCCAAGGCTCCCAGAGTATAACAGTTCAAAGTACAGGCCTTGGATTCAAACCAACTGTGTGTTTTAATTTGGCCTGGGTTTATATCTTTGGCCTCCTCTTAATATCTGTGTGATTTCTTTCAAGTTTTTCAATTCATCTGAGCCTCAATTTCCTCATCTAGAAAATGGAGATAATCATAATATCTCCCTCACAGGGGTATTGGGAGTTTTAAATGAGGGAAAACATGTGAAGTGCTTGGCATAGAAACTGGCACACCATAGAAACTTAATAAGTTTTATTTAGTGTTGTTATTATTTGTCTTCCCAGGCTATTGTAGAGGAACTAATATGATATTCCAATGGATTAGGACTCTGAAAACCCATCTCTCTGAGAGCCAGAACCTACCTCCCCTCTTAACCAGAAGAGACCTCAAAAAATAGGGTCTGTGCATTTTCTGTCAGACTACAAGGAAAGGGGTCTAAGTGTAAACATTGCTAAGATCAAGGTAGGGTGGCAGAGGAAATAAGAGGCTGATCATGGAGCCTGAAGAGATGCCATGGAAACAGACTTACAAAAGCTGGGTTTGAGTCCTGATTCCCCTACTTAGGAGGTATGTTACCTTTCAAGCTTTTGAAAACCAATGGGGACCCCTCAGAAGCTCAAATGATGGTAGACTTCCCCAGAGCTAGAAAAAGATTCCTTAGGAGCTGTTAAAGAATACACAGCCTACACTAATAGAAGGGTTATCATTATGCTCAATAAAGGTAATGCTATGACTGTCTTTTGGCAGATGATTAAAAAGTTTATAGTAAGCAACAAATAACAACAACAACAACAACAACAGTAAGCAACACTGTGGTTCTGCTCTGTACTCAATTCTGTTCTGAATAAGTCGAGCACAGGACTCAGGGAACTGCATTTAAACAAACACCTCGAGGAAGTTCTGAAGCAGGAGTTCTATAAATCACACTTAGAGAAATACTGCACTGTGCAAATGTAAGGAACTGTTGTCATTTCTTCTCCTTCATGAGAATTCAAACCTCGGTTTAGCTGAGGTGGGAGCCTACGTAATTCCAGGTATAAAAAAAAATTCCAGGCAGAAAAATTGACCATTATATTTTGTAGTACAGATTCCAGATGAAAATATCCAGAAACAGAGAGTTCAGAAAGCATTCATCATCTGCTTGGGTTGTTTTTGAGATTAGCATGTTCCAGTGGAGACAAAAATAACCAAAACATTTCAAAGGCAATAACCAGTCAAGGAAATTGGTAAATGAGGAGTGTGATAGTTAAGGTTGTTGTCAACTTGGCTGGGCCTGGTTGAGTGGCTGGGCAGCTGGGTGTGATTATTCCCCATGGTGAAATTGGCAATCAATTCCATGGTGGAATCTACTGGAGCAGCTGAGTAGCTGCTTTAGAAATGTGATCTGCTGCTGGTGTGTAAGAAGTAGCTTTGAGGAAGGTCTCTAGGTTTTTGGCATGCTTGAACCCTCCTTGTAGCCAAGTCTTCATTCAGTAGCCTGCCATGCTCTGCTGATCTTGGGACTTTTAATGGACTTGAATGAATGGCCTGCCATGTGGTTTGGTAACATCAGGACTGTGCCTTTTCACTTGTCAACCTTGGGTTTCTCAGCCTCTCCAGCTAGCAGCTGCCTGAGTGAAGAGATGCCTCCAGCTTCAGTGGGCTGGGAGCAAGAGGCAGAGCTGAAGCCCAAGGTCAAGGGGCTTTCACACAGCCCCTAGAGCCTGGCACCTGGAACTCGGACTTCTAACCTCCAAAATTGTAGGAGAATAAACTCCTGTTTGTTAAAACCATCCCATTTGTGATATTTCTATTAGAGTGGCACTAAGTAACCAAAAGGAGCTCTAATGGCATACTGCCTAAGGCACTTGACTGCTAACCAGAAGGCTGGCAGTTCAAACCCACCAGCTACTCCTTGCAAGGAAGATTGGGCAATCTACTTCCGTAGTGGTACGGCCTCGGAAACCCAAGGAGGGGTTGCTATGAGTTGGATCTGACTCAACGGCAGTGAGTTTGGTTTTTGGTTTAGGTAACCAAAACAAGGAGGAAAAACAGAAATTTTCTCAGCCACACCCTTCGTCAAAATCTGTCTTCCACACCTCCCACTTGTACCTCATAGCCTTCCTTGTGTGAGTGATTTTTTGCACAGATTCATCTTTTTCTGTTAGAGTGTGAGTCCCTAGGGTTTTATTTTAGCCTGACCATCCAAAGTGTTGGGTTTTGTGGGCATGTTGAATTTGAATTTGAATCAACCCTAGGGAGTCCAATTCACATCCTATGAGGCTTTCATCCCTAACCTGATTTTGCAATGGGCAAACCTTTCAAAAATAGAGTTGGAATTCCTAAAATAAACTCTTTGGGTCGAAAACGAAAAGGGGTAATTCCAGGAAGTCACAGCTCCACTTTACACAAGCCAGCCCCACTGCCATCATGCACTCATCCCCCAAACCTGAAACAATCATCTCCTCCTTTCCCTGTATGTTTCTGTGCTCTTTTTCATCTTGGTTGCTCTTTTCTAATCTACAGCATGAGTCTTTATTATAAGCTGTCTTGATCCCTTTTACAAGTAGGAGGGAAATTATCATATTTAAACAAATATAATTATAAATACAATGTTTTGTTCCCAAAAAAAGGCATTTGGAGTGACTTCCAGAAGGCTGGCGGTTCAAACCCACCAGCCACACCTCAGAAGGAAAATGGGGCAATCTACTTCCGTAGTGATACTGCCTCAGAAACCCAAGGGGGGGGTGTCGCTATGAGTCGGGTCCGAGTGGACGGCACACAACAACAACAACAACAATTCATAAAGATACATTGTTTTTGTTGTTAGCTTCCATCGAGTCTGTACCAGACTGTAAGTCTCCCATGTACAGCAGAATGAAACACTGCCTGCACCTGAACCGTCCTCACAATTGTTGCTATGTCTCAGCCCATTGTTGCAGCCACTGGGTTAATCCATCTCATCCAGTGTCTTCCACTTTTTTGCTGATCCTATACTTTATCAAGTATGATGTCCTTTTCCAAAGACTTGTCCAACTTAATAACACATCCAAAGTACATGAAACAAAGTCTCACCATTCAATTCTAAGGAGCATTCTGGCTGTACTTCTTCCAATGCATTTTTTGTTTGTTCTTCTGGTAGTCTATGATATATTTAATAATGTTTGCCAACACCATAATTGTGCTGGTGGTTGTTGTTAGGTGCCATCAAGCCAGCTGTGACTCATAATGACCTTATGTACAACAGAATGAAACGTGGCCCAGTCCTGCACCACCACGACATTCCTTGCTGTGCTTGAGCCCATCATTGCAGCCCCTGTGTCAGTCCATCTCATGGAGGGTCTTCCCCTTTTTTGCTGACCCTCAACTTCAGGGAATGGACCCTTCTGGCAATATGACCAAAGTAGGTGAGATGAGGTCTGGCCATTCTTGCTTCCAAGGAGCACTCTGACCACACTTCTTACAGGACAGATTTGTTCATTCTTCTAACAGTCCATGGTATTTTCAATATTCTTCACCAACACCACAATTCAAAGACATGAACTTTTCTTTGGTTTTCCTTATTCATTGTCCAGCTTTCACATGCATATGAGGCTACTGAAAATACCATGGCTTGGATTAGGCACACCTTGGTCTTCAAAGTGACATCTTGCTCTTTAACACTTTAAAGAGTCACTAGCAGCAGATTTGCCCAGTGCAATAGGACATCTGATTTCTTGACTGTGGCTTCCATGGATGTTGATTATGGATCCCAGTAAGATGAAATCCCTGACAACTTCAGTCTTTTGTCCATTTATAATGATGCTGCTTATTGGTCCAGCTGTGAGGATTCTCATTTTCTTTACACTGAGGTGTAATCCATACTGAAGACTGTAGTCTTTGATCTTCATAAGTAAATGTTTCAAGTCTTCTTCACTGTCAGCAAGCAAGGTTGTGTCACCTGCATATTGAAGGTTGTTAATGAGTTTCCCTCCAATCCTGATACATTCTTCTTCGTTTAGTCCAGCTTCTCTAATTATTTGCTCAGCATACAGATTGATTAAGTATGGTGAAAGCATACAACCTTGAGGCACACCCTTCCTGATTTTAAAGCATCCAGCATCCCCTTCTTCTGTTTGAATGACTGCTACTTATTCTACATAAAGTTTCTGCATGAGCATAATTAAGTGTTCTGGAATTCCCATTCTTCACAATTTCATCCGTAATTTATGATCTACATAGTTGAATGCCTTTGCATAGTCACTAAAACACAGGTAAACATTTTTCTGGTATTCTTTGCTTTCAGCCAAGATATATCTGACATCAGGAACGGTATCTCTCATTCCGTGCTAAATCCATCTTGAATTTCTGGCACTTTCCTGTTGATGTACTGCTGCAACCATTTTTTAATTACCTTCAACAAAATTTTATTTGCATGTGATATAAATGATATTGTCTGATAATTTCCACAGTCTGTTGGATCACTTTCCTTTGTAATGGGCATGAATATGGATCTCTTCCAGTCAGTGAGCTAGGTAATTTTCTTCCAAATCCCTTGGTATTGATGAATGACCAACTCCAGCACTGCATCCATTTGTTGAAAAATCTCATTTGATATTATGTCAGTTTCCGGAGCCTTGTTTTTCACCAATGCCTTCAGTGCAGTTTAGACTTCTTTCAATACCACTGGCTCTTGATCATATGATTCCTCCTGAAATGGTTGAATGTTGATCGATTCTTTTTGGTACAATGACTCTGTATTCCTTCCACTTTCTTTTGATGCTTCCTGCACTGTTCAATATTTTGCCTATAAAGTCATTCAATATTGTAACTTGGGGCTTCAATTTTTATTTCAGTTCTTTCAGCTTGAGCAGTGCTGAGAATGTTCTTACGTTTTGATTTTCTTGCTCCAGGTCTTTTCATATTTCATTATACTTTACTTTGCCTTCTAGAGCTGTCTTTTGAAATCTTCTACTCAACTCTTTTATTTCATTTCTTTCATTCATTTTAGCTACTCTGAATTCAAAAGCAACTTTCAGAGTCTCCTCTGACATCCATTTTGGTCTTTTCTTTCACTCCTATTTTTTAATGATCTTTTTTTTCCATGTATGATGTCCTTGATGTCATCCCACAAGTTATGTGGTCTTTAACCATTAGTCTTCAATGCTAAAGAACTACTCTTGAGATATGTAAATGAAGCTGGATATACTCAAAGTCATATTTTGGCCTCATGAACTTGTATTAATATTTTTCAGCTTTAATTTGCATACAAGCAATTGATGGTCTGTTCCACAGTTAGCCCCTGCCCTTGTTCTGACTATGATATTGACTTCTCCTTGGTCTCTTTCCACAGATGTAGTAGAATTAGACTCATGTGTATTCCATCTGGTGCGATCCATGTGTATAGTAACCGTTTATGTTGTTGGAAAAAGGTATTGGCAATGAATACATCATTGGTCTTACAAAATTCTAGCACACAATCTCTGGCATTATTTCTATAATCAAGGCCATATTTTCCAAGTACCAATCCTTCTTGTTTCCGACTTTTGCATCCCAGTCATCAGTAATTATCAATGCATCTTGATTGCATGTTTGGTCAATTTCAGACTGCAGAAGTTGGTAAAAATCTTCAATTTCTTCATCTTTGATATTAGTGGTTGGTGCATAAATTTCAATAGTAGTGGTATTAGCTGGTCTTCCTTGTAGGCATATGAATATTACTCTATCACTGACAGCATTGTACTTCATGGTAGATCTTGAAAT